TGTTTTGCTACAGTGGGGTTCTTGGGCCCCAGTTGGGTTTCTTCCTGCTTCCCTAGGCATCCCAAGCCGCGGCTCACCGGACTCCGAAGTGGGATGGCACCAGGGGTGAACTCGGCCACAAAGTCGGCCAGAACTTGGCCCTTAATTGTTTTTTTAGGCCTAAACTCCAAGTCATATTGGCCCAACAATACTGCCTATCTGGCTACCTTGCCTGTCAAATCTCTTTGCTGCAATAGGGACTTCAAAGGATGCTCAGTCAGTACCACAATCTTGTGGGCTTGGAAGTAGTGATTCAGTTTTTTTTCAAAGCCATCACCAGGGCTAGTGTCAATTTTTTCAAGGGTAAGTACCTGGTCACAGTACCATTCTCATAAGATTTATTTTTGAATATCCACTTAGTACCTATTACATTCGTGTTTCTAGGTCTGGGAACAAGAGTCCAAACTTTGTTACGTTCAAATTGACCTAATTCTTCATGCATTGCATTAACCCAACTATCATCTAGTAAGGCCTCTTTTACATTCTTAGGTTCAATTAATGAAATATAGCACATACGAGTTACCTCTTCCCGAATTTGTTTTCGGGTTTTCATTCGGTCTGAAACACTACCAATCACCTGTTAAACTGGATGATTCAGTTTTACCCTTGCTGATGGTTTTAAAACTGGACTGGTAATGACTTGAACATCAGAGGTGGTGTCCCTTGGTGCACTCTTTGGACTTAGACTTACTATAGAAGTTGGTGTTGGCTCACCTTCTTGAGCTTGGCCTTGTGTTTCTCCTTGACTTTGCGGTTCAGTATTCAAGATTGGAGACTCACAAACTTCTTCCTCATGTATAGCTGAAGTAGGAGAACCTGTGTCATCTACAACCACATTGATCGATTCCATTAAAGATAAAGTACGTAGGTTATAGACACGAAACGCTCTACTTGTGGTTGAATACCCTAGAAAAATACCTTCATTACTTCGGGAGTCAAATTTGCCCAAAGGCTCTCTATCTTTGAGAATGTAACATTTGCTCCCAAAAGTTATGAAGTATTTTACATTAGGTTTCAACCATTTTCACAATTCATATGGAGTTTGTAAAGTGTCGGGCCTTAAATACACACGATTCACAACATAAACAACGATATTCAAGGCTTCAGCCCAGAACTTTGGAGGAACTTTCTTGCTAAGGAGCATGACCCTAGCCATCTCTTAGATTACCCTGTTTTTCCTCTCAATAACTCCATTCTACTGTGGAGTAATAGGTGCATAAAACTTATGCTTAATTCCATGCATATCACAAAAATATGAAAACGAGCTATTTTCAAATTCACGACCATGATCAGTTCAGATTCTTATGATACGCCCAATAAAAACACCTTGTTCATTTTGGATTTTAAGGACTAAGGACTGGAAAGCATCAAATGTATTAGATTTTTCTCTTAAAAAATTAACCCATGAAAAATGAGTGTAATCATCAACAGTTAAAAAAATGTATCTTTTATCTCCAATGCCTTCAGTGTGAGTGGGTCCCATAAGATCCATATGAACAAGTTCAAGAGGTCATTTGGTTGTTAAGTTGTTTACCTTTTTATGTGGAGCACGAGTTTGCTTCCCAAGTTGACATGGTCCACACACATGATTTACATCCTTACTCATTTTGGGTACTTCTCTCACTAGCTCTTTGTTGGCTATCTTAGTTAGGTCTTTGAAATTTATGTAACCTAATCTTTGATGCCACAGGTCAAGATCACTTATGATGGCGGGGTGGCAAGTGAGATCATTTGAGATAACAATCCTATAACAGTTATCAGATGTGCGAACCCTATACATGATAGTATTTCCCTTTTTATCCAAAATTTCACATTTATTTTTTGAAAATAATACTTCATGGTGGGAATCACACATTTGACTGATACTCAAAAGATCTGCTTTGAGGCCATCAACAAGTAAGGAATTTTCGAGCTTGTGAAAACCGGCCACACTTATAGAGCCCTTACCAATGACTCTAGAAGTGCCACCATCTCCAAAGGTAACAATTCCTCCTTCATATTTTTCAAGAGATGTGAAGTAGGATTTGTCACCAAACATGTGACGAGAACACCCACTATCAAGATACCACATGTGTGAGTCACATGCTTTTAGTGTAGTGTAAACAACAAAACAAGTTAAGTCACTCTTTCTCACATATATCTTTTTAGTCTTGGTAAAAGCAGGACTAACAGTCTTTGTAACAACCCCGACCTCTTATTCACGTTAATTCATGGTTAAATAAGCTTAATTAGTAAATTAAGAGAAATTCTGAATTAAATTGCATGTGTGTGTTGCCTTATTTGTGTTTATATCTATTTAACGTAGAAAAACTTGTTCATGTTTTTGTTTCAGTTTGCGAATTGAAGGCCCTATCGGCATCCGATTCAGAAATTGACTTGATATACAAGTTATTTAGAATTTTTAGAATTTTATGGTAAGTCCAATTGAAATTCGATTCGGAACGATTAAATTAGATTAATTTAATACCCACTTAATTAGCCCTAATTAACTATCATTAGGTAAGCTTGTATAAGGCTTCTTATGTGCTCTCACTCACTCTTTTCTTTCATTCCAACATAATTTTAGCTCACACACACACACAAACGTGTAGAGACAGAGAGAGAGAGAGAGAGAGAGAGAGAGAGACTAGGGTGAAGTCTTCAGACAAGGAGTTTGCTAGAGAATTAAGGAGAATTGAAGAAATTGAGAAAGAACTTATTAGGATTCAAAGAGTTGAGAACCTAAGGTAAGAAATCAAGCCTTTAGTTGGGTGATTAGGGTGCTTAACTCATGCATTCAAAAGAATTAAGTGAGTTGGGACATGAATTAAGCTTAATGAAGTGGAAGAGTAGAGTATACATACATACATGTGCATTACTTTTCATTTAGAGCATGTTGTTTAAGAATTTGTCCCATGCATGTTCATATTTTGGTTGTAGTCTAAGAATTCACCATGTTTTTGAGTGGAATATCTCATTTGATCATGTTTTGGAAGTTATGAATTCAAATGAATACATTCATGACATATTCACATCATGTTCTTACATTTCAAGTTGAATGTTGCACAATTGACATACTTTGGGCCTTGATTTCATGGAATGATCTTTAAACCTTCATATTGTACAAGTTTACATATGTTTCCTCAAGTTTTGGGTCCAAAAGGATGTGAATTATAGCTTTGGGGTTGAATTTGAGGCTTCGAAGCAAATTTGGAAATTCCAAAATTCTGTTTCCACGTTCGAGTGACAGATCCTACGCTCGAGCAATCACCTTCATTCTCACATTTCTGCTCGAGCGACCAAAAGTTGGCTCGAACGTGAAATGCATGCTCCCAGAAGTTTTTATGTTTTGTAGACCACTCAAGCGACAAAAGTTGCGCTCGAGCGAGGGCATATCTCTCACGCTCGAGCGAACATTGAGCGGAAAAAGCAAGCAGCCAGTACTTTCACAAAAGTTTACAGACCGCTCGAGCGACCACTCACATTTTGCATGTCCGCTCAAGCGTAGGAAGTTACGCGTGAGCGACGACCTTATTTTCAGCAATTTTTGTTAAGTGCTTTCAAATGCATTTTTCCATCCTCATTCCATCCTAGGCATACCTAGGCCAAGTTTAAAACATCATAATGTGGATAAAGAAGTAGAAACACACCGAAACAAGAAAGAACCAAGTTAATGATTCCGGGTGTGTAATTCAGTACGTATTCGTTTTGTATTTGTGTAAGTCACGTGCCACAAGATATCTGACTTGCCTATTCTGTCCGTTTGCTTGAGCTATCTGTTATCTGTGAGTAATAACTTTGTAAAGCAATGTTCAATTATAGGTATTTTCTGAATGATATAAGATGATCTGTTTTTTGAAATATTATTTTCTGTATGAATGAATGGTTGTCCAATATTTCTGAAATGTATTCGTGGCATCATTAGCTTCAGATGACATCTGTTATTTGTTCTGTTACATCCTAACTATGGGCCAATTGTACGTCTCATGAGCCAACTGTTATGGATCTTATGTATACGTCTCATGAGCCAACTGTATCGTCTCCGTGCACGTGAGTCAACTGTATGCCTTTATGGCCGTCCCTTTATGGGTTAACTATTTTTGCTAGTGCTAATAAATGTACCACATATGATTAACTTTGAATTCTAATTACGAATATGATTCTAAATCTGTATCTGTTATGAAGTATGATTTCTGAACATAATTATGAATTCATTTCTGATAGCTTCTGAATTCTGTTTTTGTAACCATTATAGACAACATTCATTCAACCCTTTACTCTGTTATTATTCACTAGGCTCTAGCTCACTATTTATATTATGTATGTAGGTGATCAGGCGCTAGACTAGGCCCAGCGTTTATGGCCTAAAATTCCGTTTTGTCAAGCTACCCTTTGGGCCTCTAGAGGAGGTTCTGGATTAAGTCAAGTTTAGTGGCTATTTTTGTGAATGTATTAGTCTTTGTTCCTTTTGGTTTTCAAACAAGATTTCTGTTAATATGTATATGAAGTGACACGTAAATACTATATCTTTTGACATCACTCATAAGTTTATAAAATTTTATGAATATCTATCCCATGTATGTCTTCACAGCTCAATGGACTATGTATATTTTATATATTTGCTTCCGTAGCCCTTAACTGTATGTTATTATGTTAAGAGGCGCCTTTGGTAATCCAAGGATTACTGGCCGGTTACGACGCTAAACATATAGGGGCGGGTTTGGGTCGTGACAGAGTAGTATTAGAGTATGTGTTTTACTGCACACACGAGTCCATATAAGCTATAGGATGTCTAGGATGTCCTAGAAAATAATTTGGGACATTTCATCTGCATGTGTGAGTGTGTGTACTAAAGTTTGTAAAAACTGAATCTGATGATGACTACGTGAAGTAGAAATGAATGGACCGTGATTGACTAATCTAAATATAGTAAAAGGAATTATTAGCCTATGTTTATTATTGCTTTGTTTACCTATAGCAACATGGAGAATGCAAGGGGAAATGATACAAGTGAGTCTTCTAAGGCTCGAATGAGCCAAATGGAACAAATGCTCGCAGCCTTGACTGAAACATTGACACAACAACAGAGGCAACAACCTTTGCCCCCTCCACCTCCACAACATGAGCCAAATAACAATGATATGATTAACCTAACACAAAAGTTCATGAAGATGAAACCGCCAACCTTCCTTGGAGGTATTGTACCACTAAAGGCTGAAACATGGTTGTTGGAAATGGAGAAGTTATTCGAAGTGTTTCCCTATTTTGAGAATCAGAAAGTTCTTTTAGCCACCTACACACCGAAGGACGAAGCCCGAAGAGGGTGGTTGTTGACCCGAAACAGCAATGAAAACATAACATGGGCTCAATTTAATGTGATATTCTATGACAAATACTTCCCTCAATGCTTTCGAGATAGAAACGTTTCAGAGTTTCAGGAACGTAAGCAAGGAAAGATGTCCGTGGCTGAGTACAAGGCTAAGTTCACCGAGTTGGCCAGATTTGCACCTCATATGGTGGACACGGACTACAAGAAAGCTTAAAAATTTGAGGGGGGATTGGATTTAGATATCTTTGATTGGGTAGGTGTCCTCAAACTACCTGCATATGTGAATGTACTTAATAGAGCATTGATGACAGAAGCCATCCTAGCAGCAAAGAAACAAGCTCCAACCCTAACAACCGAATGGAAAGGGAAAAGATCTGGATTCAATTTCAAGAAGGGTCATTCATTTGCTATGAATAAGAAACAAAATACGGGATCTTCTAGCAGCTCAAGTCAAAGTAGTGAGTCTTTGTACCCAATGTGGGAGGAAACATAGAGGAGTTTTCCATTGAGTATCTGGTGCTTGCTTTCAGTGTGGCAAGATGGGTCACACGATAAGAGATTGTCCAATTGGGTTTGAGAATGCCAACCGTCCTGTAGCAAGTTCAACAGGGTCCGCTTCTACAGTCAAAACAAATGCAAAAGCTAATACTGGGAAAGACTTTGAGACAGGGTAGAGTTTTTGCACTTGTGCCCGGTGACGTACATAATACTGAATCAGTGGTGTCAGGTATAATTTCTATCTGTGCTCAGAATGCCTATGTGTTGATAGATTCTGGTTCCACGCATTCCTTTGTGTCACATGCTTTTTCTCGAAAATTAACTAGACCATTAGAACCTATGAACTGTTTATTATCTGTGTCTACACTATCTGGAGGTTCCATGATATGTGCTTATGTATATCTGACATGTGATGTGACGATTGGTGATATGACATTGTATGTTGATTTGCTACCTTTGGGTATTGATTATTTTGATTATATTCTGGGAATGGATTGGTTGACAAAATATTGTGTCACCATTGATTGTGTGAGTAAATATGTTGTGATTAGACTACCTGGTATATCTAAGTTTGTTTTTACTGGGAATGGGGTAGTTCCTCCGCCATACTTGATTTCATGTTTGAAAGCCAGGAAATTGATGAGCAAAAGTTGTCGGGGCTACTTGTGTTGTGTTTTGACTGCACCTTCGGATAGTACTAATGTGGAAACCATTGCCATGGTCTGTGAATTTCCTGTTGTGTTTCCTAATGACTTGCTCGGGGAGTTAATTGATAGGGAAGTTGAATTCACCATTGATGTAGTACCCGGGACTCAACCAATTTCTAAAACCCTTTATAGAATGTCAACTTCTGAATTGAAAGAGTTAAAAATCCAACTCCAAGAGCTCATAAATAAGAAATTCATCCCTCCGAGCACCTCATCCTGGGGAGCTCTAGTATTGTTTGTCAAAAAGAAAGATGGATCTTTGAAGCTGTGTATTGACTACCGTGAGTTGAACAAAGTAACTGTGAAGAACAAATACCCTTTACCCCGAATAGATGACCTATTTGACCAACTACAGGGAGCACAAGTGTTCTCCAAAATAGATCTTAGGTCTGGGTATCACTAATTAAAGGTCAAGGCAGAAGATGTAGAGAAAACAACATTCAGAACTAGATATGGGCTTTATGACTTCTTAGTCATGCCATTTGGGGTAACTAATGCATCTGCAGCGTTCATGGACTTAATGAATAGAGTATTCAAACAATTCCTTGATGAGTTTATTGTTGTGTTCATCGATGATATATTGATTTATTCTAAAAGTAGGGAAGAACATGAAAGTCATCTGAGAATTGCTTTACAGACCCTAAGGGAAAAGAAGTTATATGCAAAGTTTTCGAAATGTGAATTTTGACTTGATAGTGTGGCGTTTTTGGGGCATGTAATCAACAAGAATGGTATCTCCGTTGACCCACAGAAAATTAAAGCTATTATGGACTAGCCTAGACCGACAAATGTATCAGAAGTTCAAATTTTTCTGGGACTTGCAGGTTTTTATCGCAGATTTGTGCAAGATTTTTCCAAACTTGCTTTGCCACTCACTCAATTGACGGAGAAAGCTACACCATTTGATTGGACTGATCAAAGAGAAACTACTTTCCAAGAGTTAAAGACCAGCTTAGTAACTGCACCAATTTTGACTTTACCTAATGGTATTGATGGGTTTCAAATTTACAGTGATGCCTCCTACAAAGGTTTGGGATATGTGTTGATGCAAAATGAGAAGGTAATTGCTTATGCTTCTTGGCAACTCCGTCCTCATGAAAAGAATTACCTGACTCATGATCTTGAATTGGCAGCCCTGGTGTTTACTTTGAAAATTTGGCGCCATTATCTATGCGGAGTAACTTGTGAAGTGTATACTGACCATAAAAGCTTAAAATATTTCTTTACTCAGAAAGAATTGAACATGAGACAGACGAGATGGCTAGAGTTGATCAAAGACTATGATTTGCAGATCTTGTATCATCCGAGGAAAGCTAACCCTATGGTAGATGCATTAAGCCGAAAGTCAATTGGAAATTTATCATGTTTGCTCACTGGCCAGAGAGAGTTGTTATGTGATTTGGAAAAGCATGAGATTGAAATAGTGTTACGAGAACAAGGTGGAATCTTAGCCGCTATCTCCGCCCAGCCTGCAATCATTGAAGAAATTAGGAAGAAACAACTGCAAGATGAGTTCTTGAAAAAGATTATGGAAGAATTTGACTCAAAACCGAGGCCGGGATTTGTGCTTGACAATAATGTGTTAAAATTTCAGGGTCGCCTTTGTGTGCCAGACTGTTTTGACTTGAGAAAACGCCTTATGACCAAAGCCCACAACTCCAAATTTGCCATGCATCCAGGAAATATAAAGATGTATCATGACTTGAAACAGAATTTCTGGTGGCCTGGAATGAGGAAGTGTATTGCAGACTTTGTGGCTAGATGCTTACAATGCCAGCAAGTTAAAGTTGAACATCAACAACCCGCTGGATTACTTCAACTGCTTCCAATACTAGAATGGAAGTGGGAACACATCACGATGGACTTCTGTAGACGTCCCCGAACGCCCCGGGAGGATGGGTCCCGTTCTGTTCGTATTGGGCTCACTACAGTTCAGGACTCTCAAATTGTCACGGTTCTTAATCTGAACCAAAGAGTCCAAATCCGGCAAATCGTTTTGAAAAATAGATTTTTAGAAAAGAAGTGCCAAACATGGACTGCTTTGCCAGATACAGAGTCGCCACCTAAATATTTTATTTTGGGAAATTTAGGAAACCCTGACTCGGTGCCAAAGGCCACGTGTCCGTCATCACCAAAGTTGCCTCGGCTCAGGAACTTGGGTACGATTGGGGAAGGTCACTTCGTGAGCACCCCCGCTCGCCCGATCAAAGATCGGCCTCTACTAACCATGATATCTATTTTTGAAAACATTGTGAGTTCTTATTCCGGTTATCAGCCTAGAATTACTATGTTATGCGCACAGCAAACAAGTATAGACCAAATCGCCTAAATTGGAACAAAACATTGCATGTTTGTTTTGAAAATGGTTTGCTACTCGCAAGTAGTCTAAAATGCAAGTTTTGCCACCCTCAAGTGGGCTTTAGAAAAGATTTTTTGTCACTATTTAGTGGGCTTAAAACTCACAGTTTTAATACATTATTCCAATTTAGGTAATTCAACCTCCACCCATAGGCATTCAAGCAGTTTATATCACATAAGCATCTAGCCACATGGTAAGCATGCTGTCATGTTGACATTCACACTCATGCGAGATGCTAAAGCATAAATGCTCACCTAGTACTCTGTGCAAAACAAAAGCTAGTTAGTAATCAATGCATGATCCTAGCTCATGTTAAGATGGCTAATGCTACACATACAAGATGCAACTACAATAGGCTCGGCTATTCTAAGATGGCATGTGATGATGCTCAAACTAACATGTATTCAACTTTGGGATTGAAATACAAATGCAGTTAGTATGATGCGCCGAGCCCGGTGCATGCAAAACGAATGAATGGATGCAAACATGCTATCATACTGTATGCTAATTGAAACATGCCCTAGCCTAACCATGGAAAGCTAGTAAATAAAAGGGAAGAAAGACGTGGGGTTGGAAGACATACACACACTCACCCACACTTATTACATAATTGCCCTCGCTCGGTGGGTCCGAAAGAATAATACAGTCTGAATAACAAATCAACTATCCTAGCTAATTAATTATTACAGACCCTTAATTAATTAACAAATTAATTACAAAGTAAACTAAATGTGAAGCTTAAAGAGACTGCCGCAGCTCTGCCTCGGAATGCGCGAATGATGCATGCTTGACTCGCCCTGCTCGAAAACTCGCTGCCATAGCACTGTTGCCTCTGTTAACACTGCCCTGCCCCTCTGAAAATTTTGAAAGTCCTCAGAACTGCTCCTTGAGTGTTGTGGAATGTTATCGGCCAAAGGAATATGCTACCGGCCATGGGGATGGGCTTATCGGCTAACTATTGTATCACCGGCCAGCCACCGATGGTCGGTCGGCACTGTAGGTGGCCGGCAGGCCATTTCTTCCTGCAGAATCCTGCAGTTGACAGCAGCAGAGGGCAAGCAGTGTATGGCATGGAATTTTCAAGCAAATGTGAGCATGGCCACACTCCCTATCATGCAATGGACTCAAGGGAGCATGGCCCTCAACCCTCGAGCCATCAATCACGCATTTCAATGCATGATGGCCCAAAAGCCAAGTGTGCAACTTCGATATCAAATGAAATGCAAGCACAAAACACATCAAAGGGCCCCAACCCCTATCATGATTGATCAAGAGGCAAGGGATGCATGCTCAATGAAATGCAACCTAGGCATGGAGGCTAAGTGTGCAACATGAACATGCAAATGAGCAATGTATACTAGGCACGCAACCTAAACATGTAAACAAACATGGCATACAACAACATGCGATGATGGACTTAAACTAACATGGATAGCTCACAAGCATGCCAAAATCAGTGGTCATGTGATGAAAATGAGGCAACCAAGATGCATGCAAACATGCACAATGCAATGGCCCCGAGTCTAAGGCACAAAACACAACTCCACAAAGGCATTGAAAGGATGAATTATGGCATACATTGGCATATGTTCCAGAACTGAAGTATGATGCTCAATAGTCTCGAAACATGCAAATATGCCACCCAATGCA